AATTCCAACACGTAGAGTTCCAACGCGTGGTAAAACAACGCGTAGAGTTCCAACGCGTGGGAACACAACACGTCGAATTCCGAAGCGTAGAGTTCCAGCGCGTGGTAACACAGCGCGTCGAATTCCAAAGCGTAGAGTTTCAGCGCGTAGTAACACAGCGCATCGAATTCCAAAGCGTAGAGTTTCAGCGCGTGGTGACACAACGCGTCGAATTCCAACGCATTCTTCCTCAAATCACGAGTTACCGCATTGTGACTTTCAATGCGCGGCAATTCAAAAATATCTCCTACATTTGGCGATCACCTCAAACTACCTAACAAACGAACACAAGTAATATCCACGATTTATATTCGTCCCAATAATCATCGTCCATTTTATTCCCAGGATATTTTTATGCTCCAGCTTTTAAACATGAGCCCTCGAAAGCCTTCCAGACCAAATTTTCTTTATTCAGCCGACAGAAATATCCTCGAACTGCTTTTGTTCGACCCGCGTAGCGGTGGAACGAACGGGAAAATCGGTTCCCAGTAGCGAGATCGGCGAATAGACCCACCCATCGTTCTCGTTCTATCGTAATATAAGGTCCGACCACGTAGAGCCGTTGATAAAACTTCCAGTCGGACTTCATCGGACCACCGCATAAAATTTCAATAAATCCGAACCCGTGAAAAAGGGCTCGGACAGAAGGAACGAATGGCCAATGCTACATGCCAGTTGGAACTTATTCCAGCCTGTTACATGGGCTCGGAAGGACCCCTGGTTATTTGTTCCTATGATCGAAATTCTCCTCTTCTGGTCCGACACTCTCATCGATGCCGCTTTGTCCCTCCAATCTTGCTATCCAACTTTGATATACGCTTTCAGAGCTGGTACACTTTCGTGTCTATGCGTTGGAGATCTACGCTTTGGAACTCTACGCTTTGGAATTCGACGCATTGTGTTATTACGCGTTGAAACTCTACGCGTTGGAACTCTACGCTTTGGAATTCGAAGCCTCGTGTTACCATGCGCTGGAACTCTACGCGTTGGAACTCTACGCTTGGGAATTCGACGCGTTGAGTTACGACAATTTGGAACTCCACGCGTTGGAATTCTACGCTTTGGAATTCGAAGCGTCGTGTTACCACGCTTTGGAACACTACGCATTGGAACTCTACGCTTGGGAATTCGAAGCGTTGAGTTACCACGCGTTGGAACTCTACGCGTTGGAACTCTACGCTTGGGAATTCGAAGCGTTGAGTCACCACAATTTGGAACTCCACGCGTTGGAAGTCTACTCTTTGGAATTCGAAGCGTCGTGTTACCACGCGCTGGAACTCTACGCGTTGGAACTCCACGCTTGGGAATGCGAAGCGTTGAGTCACTACAATTTGGAACTCTACGCTTGGGAATTCGAGGTGTTGAGTTACCACAATTTGGAACTCTACGCGTTGGAATTCTACGCTTTGGAATTCGAAGCGTTGAGTTACCACGCGTTGGAACTCTACGCGTTGGAACTCTACGCTTGGGAATTCGAAGCGTTGAGTTACCACAATTTGGAATTCTACGCATTGGAACTCTACGCTTTGGAATTCGACGCGTTGTGTTACCACGCATCAAAATACTATAAATTAAAACTCAACGCGTTGGAACTCTCTTCATTGAAATTCCACGCGTCTATTAACTCCTACAAAACACTGTAAACTAAAGCTCTACTAGTTCCAATTTCGTATACAGCAACTGCACGAATTAAAATTCCCCACGCTTAATCGCCCTCGCGATTTTCATTGGGTGACGCAAACTGGAGCAAAAAATCGATCGTAGCGACGTTATTTTTTTAAGTCCGAAAGTTTGATCGAGCGTTCTTGTTCTTTGGCGAATCAAGACTTAGCTGCAAAAGGAAAATAAGCTGAGTGTAAAGGAAGACGGGACAACTTTAGAGAGCGATTCAAAGTTACACGAGTTTGGTCTCTGATTGTTCAACGGGTCGGAATTTTCCTTGCTACTTCGAGTCTCCCTCTTGATTCACGCGTTAAGTTCCTTCATCCGGAGAGGATCTTTTGTGTCGACGATGCTCGGAATTACCGAAATCTCATTCTGGCTCGTTAATCTCGCAAACGAGATCTTCGAAATGTTCCAGATAGGCTGACATCGTTTATGTCTCCGTTCTTTCGATCAACCCCAATTCACGGTACTACTGGATTGTTGTTTCCATCAGACATTAATTATGTGTCGATCAGTGTTTAAATTATTTCAAAAGTGTATGTAATTGATACAACCATATTTGTTTCTGACAATGAAAATCGACGTAATGAAATTGAATGCAGTTCTAATTAACGTTCCTCGTTGACACGGTAGTATAAATATTTATAGATTGAATTATTAACTATTCCAGTTAGATATGAAATCGTTATCCGTAGCATATTTGATCGAGATAAGGGTTAATGGACACTCGCGATGCCAACATCCTCCAGCAGGATAATAAACTGCTCTCTTCTCGTCTCTCAGAGTCCCCTTTTTGGGACAGCCTCGTCTTTGCCGGCCGGAAATCCGGGCGAGCATAAAAATGCAATTAAGGAAACGGTCGACGTCTGGCACAGAGGGCTGCATACTTCTTCCCGTCGTGAAAGGTGGCTTCTTCTTGGCCGTTTCGCTACCCTCCTCACCCTTCGTTACCTCTTCTTTGGCTGCCGTTTCCTCGACCGAAATTCACTGCACGGGTTGGTTAAATGCTCGGCGAACAGAATAGATGAAACACCGCCGTGATACAGAGGGATGAAGCATCGACCTCGAGCAATTAGTATCTCGAAAGTTTAGCGCCGTAAGAGTTCAATGGACGATCGATGAAAGGCGTTCTTTAATCGGCGTTGGTATTTTAACGTCGCGGTGCTCTTTAAACGAGAGGGCTTTTTGCTCGCGGTAATTATGAATCTTAATTAAGAACAGGGGGTACTTGAACAATTATGAGCGATAGATCGGTGGAATGTGAAATGTGGAGGTAGATATTTTGATGTGTTAGGAAGGTTGATAGGCAGATGTGTTGGAAAATTTAGGTATGGATTATATTGCCGTGCAGTTTTGGAACTCAACGCTGCGGAATTCAATGCGTTGTGTTACCACGCTTTGGAACTCTACGCGGTGGAACTCTACTCATGGGAGTTTCACGCGTTGGAACTCTACGCTTTGGAGTTTGATGCGTTGGAACTCTACGCTTTGGAACTCGATGTGCTGTGTTACCGCGCGTTGGAATTCTACGCGTTGGAACTCTACGCATTGGAATTCGATGCGTTGTGTTACCACGCGTTGGAACTCTACGCTGCGAATTTTGACGCGTTGGAACACTACGCTTTGGAGTTCTATGCGCCGTGTTACTACGCGATGGAATTCCACGCGTTGGAACTCTACGCTTTGGAATTCGACGCGTTGTGTTACTACGCGTTGGAACTCTATGCGTTGGAATTCGACGCTTTGTGTTACTACGCGTTGGAACTCTACGCTTTGGAATTCGATGCGCTGTGTTACCACGCGTTGGAATTCTACGCGTTGGAACTCTACGCTTTGGAATTCGATGCGTTGTGTTACCACGCGTTGGAACTCTACGCTGCGAATTTTGACGCGTTGGAACACTACGCTTTGGAGTTCTATGCGCCGTGTTACTACGCGATGGAATTCCACGCGTTGGAACTCTACGCTTTGGAATTCGACGCGTTGTGTTACTACGCGTTGGAACTCTATGCGTTGGAATTCGACGCTTTGTGTTACTACGCGTTGGAACTCTACGCTTTGGAATTCGATGCGTTGTGTTACCACGCGTTGGAACTCTACGCTGCGAATTTTGACGCGTTGGAACACTACGCTTTGGAGTTCTATGCGCCGTATTACCACGCGTTGGAATTCCACGTGTTGGAACTCTACGCTTTGGAATTCGACGCGTTGTGTTACTACGCGTTGGAGCTCTATGCGTTGGAATTCGATGCGCTGTGTTACCACGCGTTGGAACTCTACGCTTTCGAACTATGTGTGATGGAACCCTACGTGTTGTGCTACTACGCGTTGGAACTCTACGCGTTGTGTTACCACGCTTTGGAACTCTACGCGGTGGAACTCTACTCATGGGAGTTTCACGCGTTGGAACTCTACGCTTTGGAGTTTGATGCGTTGGAACTCTACGCTTTGGAACTCGATGTGCTGTGTTACCGCGCGTTGGAATTCTACGCGTTGGAACTCTACGCTTTGGAATTCGATGCGCTGTGTTACCACGCGTTGGAACTCTACGCTTTCGAACTATGTGTGATGGAACCCTACGTGTTGTGCTACTACGCGTTGGAACTCTACGCGTTGTGTTACCACGCTTTGGAACTCTACGAATTAGATATCTTCTCACAAAATTTCACACGTTAAACTCTACAAATTAAGACTGCACGCGTTGTATCCTCAAAATTACCATAGTAGTCCAATACACTATCAAATCCATATACTCCTCACAAAATCCATTCGATGACCATATAACGATGCTATTATACTCTCTCGTATATTTTTGTCTAACTCAACCTCTGAATATTAAACCTCCTCTCTCATTTCAAAAATTTTCTCCTAAATGACATTAGAGTCAGCAACGCGCCAGGCTATCTCTAGTTACTCGTCTCAGCTCAATTATCTGAATCCACATTATTCTTGTCGCGTATCCGCGTATATATCACGAGAATACCGGCATCAAGAATCGTCACGTTCATCTCGGAGACAACGTGATTCGTTCAATATCCACCGTGAAAACGAGCATCGACTCACCCTAGGTTATGGTTGTCCGTGTTGTCGGCCGCATCATCCGTCACGGAATCTTGCGTGAGAGGACCCTGAGTGACGTCCACTCCCATGCTACCTAGATCCAATGTGGCGTATGTTCTGCGTGCTTGAACCCTTGTGCCACCACCCCCGCTATCGCCACCGGTTACTTCGCCGCCTCTGCCGCCATTTCCAACTAGCTCTTGATATAATTCGTCGTACAGGGAACTGCCGTTCTCGTTGCTGTTCAGGGCATCGTCCAGACGTGCTGGATCGAGGTGGTAGTTGGGATTCTCGAAGGAGAGCAGACCGTTTTCTGTAACATTCAATGGTGGATAGGTTAGTGTTGGAAGCTTTAAACGTGGAGGTTTTACGCGTGCTATGGAGGTCTGAAAGAGACTGTTAGCGATGAGTAGCGACAGTCGAGGTAGCTGTTGATGCGAAGCGTGAGTTTGTGTAAATTATTAAATCTGGAAGGCTGACTTTTGTAGAATGACAATAGTTTGTATACTTTTATAATTCGTACATTTTTATAATTCGTAGACTCTTGTAGAGAGTATGGTGAGCCAGGGAGAGGTTATGTCACTTGTTGACTTTTCAAGTCAACTTGGACGAGTGCTCAATTTTGATAGTAGAAAATCTACATACTTAAGTCTGCAAGTCTGTCAATACAATAATTTACAAACTTTATGATTTATTACTGTAAAGCTTTGAAAAATGATCAATTCATGTCTATACATAAAACCTCTCCCTCCAGCCTCTTCCCTCGGGAAGAGGTCCAAAAAAATCCCCGAGCTCCTGATCGATAATAGAGTGTCCGCAAAAACCCGTATCCCAAAATCGAGCGAAGATACGAAACAAAAAATGAACGAAAGCTAAAGGCGAAATAAGACGAAGACGTGGACGAATCAATCGACCTCGTCAGCAGAGACACCCCGAAGAATCCTCTAAAGCGAACGGCCTATAGTAAGAGGATTAAAAACATTGACCGGGCCGTAAGAGGTTGAAAGTTAAGAAGCGTATAGAAAACGAGGTTCAAGCGTTCTAGTGAAAGAGAACACCGAGATTATTAAATGCTCTTGCGTTCTACTCACTGATGCTCCTGACCAAGACCACAGTGGCTAGTAGAACGTTGTAGAGAAACCGACAGAATGCATCCATGCTGACGCTAGGTCGGACATTTTGTTAAAAAATCTCGGTAATCGTAAAACGTCGTCAAGAAGCTTCGTGCACTTATCGACACGCTATTGGCACGTAGACGGTGTAAATGCACGCCCGTGTACATAGAGAACGCGTGCGAGTGTGTGTGTGGGTGTCTAAGACGAATCTCCTTGGCCTCCTTTGTCCCTTCCTTCCTTTCTTCCTTTCCGTCTTCTATCCTTGACACTCCTATTTCTTCTCTACCTATCCCTCTGTTCCCGGTATTGATTCAACCGCGGGCTCTGTTCGTTGTTTCGGTCAAAGGGACAATTTGCGTTCATCGAACGAAATTTACCGATATTTAGAGAGACATGGAAACGAGATAGAAAAACAGATTATCTGTCACTGCTGCACTTAGTTTTGTTATGATATCTAACTTAGATATCTTGATAACACACTTGAGGGTAGACTCGGAGGATATAGTAACTTTTCCCGCGTTTAAATTTCCCGCGCAACTATGTCAAGCTAACTGACCATTTCTAATACTTTCAATGTTCACACCTGTTCACTATCACGAATATTCTAGTACACCTTTCAGATTTCAGGAGACAAGAGCGATGGTAATTAGTCGATCGAATTGGGACGAATGAAAGTTGCGACGACCCTTTGACGACGCCACTTTCGGCTAATTCGACGTTTGTCGCGACCCTCCACCACTTTTGCCGACCATCGACTGGCGCGACTCGAGTTCGTACGCCCGTTTTCCGAACAAAAGGGTAACTAAAGCTCTCCTACCGACACTCGATCCGTCGAAAATCTTGTCCGTCGATTTCACAACCTGCCGAGATCGGGATGCGTCAAATTCCAAAACGTTGAGTTCCAATGCGTGGGAGTACAACGCCTCGAATTCCAAAGCGTAGAGTTCCAGCGCGTGTAACACAACGCTTCGAATTCCAAAGCGTAGAGTTCCAGCGCGTAGAGTTCCAACGCGTGGTAACATAACGTTTCGAATTCCAAAGCGTAGAGTTCCAGCGCGTAGAGCGTCAACGCGTAGAGTTCCAACGCGTGGTAACACAACGCTTCGAATTCCAAAGCGTAGAGTTCCAGCGCGTAGAGTTTCAACGCGTAGAGTTCCAACGCGTGGTAACATAACGCTTCGAATTCCAAAGCGTAGAGTTCCAGCGCGTAGAGCGTCAACGCGTAGAGTTCCAACGCGTGGTAATACAACGCTTCGAATTTCAAAGCGTAGAGTTCCAACGCGTGGTAACATAACGCTTCGAGTTCCAGCGCGTAGAGCGTCAACGCGTAGAGTTCCAACGCGTGGTAACACAACGCTTCGAATTCCAGAGCGTAGAATTCCAACGCATCGAAATCCAAAGCGTAAAATTTTCACGAGTAGAGTTCCAACGCGTAGAATTCCAAAGCGTGGTAACACAATCAGTACGAGAGTGGACTTCGACCGTCAGGTGACGATCTGCTTGTTTGACAGAGATCTACTTAAGAGTATAACAAATTAAGAGGATAACAACAGAGTATAACAAACGGAAGTATAACAAAGAATAGTACAACAAACGGAAGTATAACAAAATTATAAAAATAACGTTACTCCAGTAATTAAAACAAGTATCAAAAAAATGTACTAGCGATCTGACTTGTCCCATTAAATTCCACTCACCGTAGCAAGCTAGATATTTGAAGCTTGAAAAAGCTTACAACTTTTCACGGAAAGAAGAGGAGTTGAAGACAGAGTTTAAGGTGCTATCGTTGGCAAGAAAACGCAGGCAAAACGGAGCAATAAAAAGAGAAGATCCGTGGAATCGTTCGCGATGATGGCAAGCGCTCGTTTACCTTCCATTAACTTGCCGTTCGGTGAATATTTCAATAACGCGAATCCACCCTGTAATCTCCGGGTAATTAATTATTTTGCAGCGGAAAGTTATCGGAAGAACGTTTAACTCGCGTTATTTCCGTCGATCCGAAGATTTCGTTAATTCAGTAGGGACACGGGATGACTCAGCAGGGTGGGTCATCCGTGTGCGACAAATTGGCTGGCGACCGTCGTTTTGCCGCATGCTCGTTATAGGTGCATGCGAGTGCAGCTCTCGTTTCGTCTCGAAGAAACATTTGAAATACCTATTTGAGATAATATTCCGATACTATTTTCAATTCTGGAATATTCGTTTAAAATAATAGCAGTTTCAAACAATTACGAGAAATGAAAATACAAGAAAAATGTTCCCAGAGAAAATTCTTTCGAAAAGTTCAACGTTATTCGTAATGTAGAATTATGTCGATACACGCAGCAAGTCTCTGCTAGGTCGTAAAATCTGTCTAAAAAGCAAAGTACAGGAAATTACGAAGTCGAAGACAAAGCGTTGCTCAGCCGTTAAGGCATCTATTGGCAGCCATTTTCCAAGAAGAAGATAAGAGGCAAAAAGGGAAGGACCGTTTGGAAGGTAGCAGCGATTCAAACGAAGCTATCTTTATTCGCGAACTTTATTCGCCGTAACTGGAAGACTGCAGTGCGGCTGGAATGACTCGAAGCAGGAGAACGGGCGGAAGTGGGGTGTCCCTTTTAGAAGGACGCAACTTTTCAAGTAACGACCGAGTCAGCGAATTCCAGGAACAGAGATCGCAAAGCCTCCGAGTGCATTTCGTTATTTCGCTGGCAAACAGGAGAAGTCCTCCGCGAAGAAGAAGGGAAAACGAGGGCCGAACAGGGAGTTTGAAAGTTTGGACACGCTTTCGGCGTTAGAACCGGAAGCAAGACGCTTCGGAGAGAGAAGGAGAAGGGCGTGGGAAGGGCGAACGGAGAGGATAGAAAGGAGGGAGGAAACTCCGTCACCGCCCCTCGATGAGTCACCCTATCGATTCCTCGGCCGGAGAGTCTAGGTGAAGTCTAAGGGGTGAAGGGGCTCTTTACCACCAGCGAGCACCTTCCTTTTTTTCCTCCCCTCTCTTCGTCCCTCCCTTACGTCCTTACGTAAGTCCTTTCCATGGAATATTAACTTTCATGGGCGCGGAGCAACCTCTTCTGCCACGTTCCTTAGCCATTCGGAACTGCAGGGGTCACGTATCTCATAAGTACCGGAGACGATTGCCCGTCGAGTACTCTCGGGATCGAACAAGACACTCATTCTTTATCAGGGTGACGCAGTGCGAATCAATTTTTACTTAAGGTCAACGCTCCGCCATCATAATTTTACCCTTATGGTTCAACGTTCTTAGGAAAAGAAAAATAACTGGTCTTCTTTAAGTAAATTCATGTTTATTTTTATGTCCTTTTTATAGGACATTTAATAATTACTTATTTGAGGGAAAGATGAAAGGCAATGCTTGCATTGTATTCTTCATAGTTCGGAATTCTTCAGAGTTCCACGCTTTCGTATTCTACGCTTTGGGATTGGACGCGTTGGAACTCTACGCTTTGGAATTCGACGCGCTGTGTGCCCACGCGTTGGAACTCTACGCTTTGGAATTCGACGCGTTGGAACTCTACGCTTTGGAATTCGACGCGTTGGAACTCTACGCATTGGAATTCGACGCGTTGGAACTCAACGCTTTGGAGTTCGACGCGCTGTGTGCCCACGCTTTGGAACTCTACGCTTTGGAATTCGGTGCGCTGTGTTACCACGCGTGATATCACAACGCGTCGAATTCCAACGCGTAGAGTTACAACGCGTCAAATTCCAAAGCGTAGAGTTCAAAAGCGTAGAATTCCAACGCGTAGAGTTCCAAAGCGTGGTAACACAACGCATCGAATTCCAAAGCGTGGTAACACAATACATCGAATTCCAAAGCGTGGAGTTCCAACGCGTAGAGTTCCAACGCGTAGAGTTCCAAAGCGTAGTAACACAACGCTTGGAATGTAGATTTCCAACGCGTAGAGTTCCAAAGCGTAGTAACACAACGCTTGGAATTCCATAGCGTAGAGTTCCAACGCGTAGGGTTTCAACGCGTGGTAATACAACGCTTGGAATTCCAAAGCATAGAGTTCGAACGCGTGGTAACACAACGCATCGAATTCCAAAGCGTAGAGTTCCACTGCGTAGAATTCCAAAGCGTGGAAACCCAACTTCCTCCACTCGTCAAAAATTACAGTCATCGCACCCAAGTTTACAATACCCACTCGTGAAGATATAATTCTCAAACTGCAACCCTCTTTGACTGTTCCCC